ACCCTAGTATAAATTATAAAATGGTATTTATATAATAGTAATTCGGGTTGATCCTGAGACCCGCCCAAATTAAATTCGAGTTGAAGTTTTTTGACCTAAGTCCAACCCAAGTATTAAAAATTCTTGCCCAAGCCTTAATTTGTTCAGGTTGGGCTCGAGTTGAAATTGGGTTGCCTAACCTAAGTTGCACCCCTATTGTCCACCACCAGGGTCGTTGTTGCCCACCATAACCACCACCATCTCGCACTACCACCATTGTTGCCCACCACCACTACCACCGCTTACCTCTAGTACAATTGGTGCTCAAATTTCTTTCTCTCTCCTCTATGTTTATGATTTTATTTTGAGTGTGAATACAAATATGTTTATTGTTGACTATTTTTTTTATTACTCTGTACCTTCAAGTATGGATAATAACTAACAGATAGATATAGGAACAGCTTGCTTTGGTTTATTCAATTGTATTGAACATAGTATTTTTGGACAATGACCGCGATTATAGAAACAAAATAACATATGGTTATTGTCGATGGGTATATCTTTCTCAACATAAAAGAGATTACGATTGGGGGGTTTTTCTAGGTCATCTGACGAATGATGTGATTGGTAAAATAAATCATTCTAGATTATTAACACATGAATCGCAATTGATTTCATTTTTTTCTTCTTGATTCTGTCTTTTTCTCATGTTTCGAATAAAATATAGGTGATTCACACACCAAGTGCATAATTAAAACAATAAATTACACTTAGACCCACAACTATGCCCCTCGTTTCAAATTGCCCCTTAAATTATCCACTTTCTAGTTAAAGTGTTGATTTGAATTTTACATTGCTCCAATCGTTAACCAATGTCCAATATTTCTTGACAAATCAGGGCAAAAATGTGAACTGATTTTGAAAATTGAGACATGGGTTTGGAAAATAAGGTTGAAACCGACTGGTTTTGTGAATAAAGTTTGTGAGAGACATGAGTTTGGTGAATAATTAATTTTCACCATACAAATAATGTCATCTCTCAATTCACTGAATTTGGTGTCTCAATCTCAATCTTTGATGAATTAAAATAACAATCATTATATGCACGTGTTAATTACATATCTCAAGATTAAGAGTTTAAGCAATCATAATAACCATGCTATATTTTATTTCTTATTTAGTCAGTAAAAACATAATAACATAAAAAATGGTCATATTCAATACACAAATATACTAGTGCAATAATCCGAAACATCATATAGTCTCCTATTACTAATAAAGATAGAATATGTCAGAAGATTGCATTAAAATTCTACTGATGGAATATCCAATTCCATCTAATATTATGAACATTTACTTATATTATACAACGATTCGATAATCTGATCTTCTGTATATAAATCGAACTCTATATACCAGATTTTCTATAATGTGAAATAAAAGACACACATGCTCACCATATATTAATATAATGCAAAATGTTTTACCCACACAAATTCTCATAAAAAATGAATAATTTTTATTAAATAATAAATTAAGTTTCATTACAAAAAATAAACTTTTAGTATATAAATTAGTTACTACATATTTGTATAGAAAGTTAGATACTAATATTTATATGAAACTTCTTGAAAGATTACAATTGCCTGAAGTAAACACATCAAAACCACAAAACATGTACTCAATTAAATTGAGACGATCCTTGTAAGGATTAAAATAATCTAGAAGAATGTGATATAACCGTCTCAATAAGTATTTGGTAAAAGAATGGTATGTTAACAATCACATATACCTATGTGTATTTATTAAGAAATCAGAATCTGAATTTGTCATCATTATAGTATATTTTGATGATGTGAATCTCATTGGAACTCCTGAAGAATTGATAAAAACTGTTAAATATTTGAAAAATGAAATTGAGATAAAAGATTTAAAGAAAACAAAGTATTGCCTCAACTTGCAGATCGAACATATGTTAAACATAAATTTTATCCATAAAATAACTTACACAAAAAAAGTCCTGAAGCAGTTTAATATGGATAAAACATATCCGTTGAGTACTCAAATGGTTGTTTGATCCCTATGTCAATATGAATGCCTTTCGTTTTAAAGAGGATAATAAAATATTTTTTGGTCCTGAAATATCATACCTAAATGCAATAGGTGTTTTTGTTATATTTAGCACAATGTAATAGGCTTGATATAACATTTGCAATCAGCTTATTGACAAGATTTTATTTTGCACCAACTCGACGACATTGGAATGACATAAAAACATGTCATACTCTGAGGAACTATAGATTTGGACTTGTTATACTCAAAGTAATCAATCCACATCCGGGGAAGAATTTCATGAGGAGGCATCAAGGCACATGACATATGCATGTTGTACTCTTTTTCCTTTGTCTAAGTTTTGTCCCATTAGATTTTCCTAACAAGGTTTTAATGAGGCAATATTATTGTGTCTAATGCTATTCTAATAGTCATTTGAATATATACTCTTTTTCTTTCGCTGGGTTTTATTCTCACAAGGTTTTCGTAGCAAGATTTTAACGAGACATATAATCATAATATAGTGGTGATCTAAGGAAAAGTGTTGTAAATATTAAAATTACAATGTATATATTGTATATACATTATATATATAAAGTGGATGACCCCTAACCTACTAATTACCACACCAAGTAAATAAGAATTAGTGGGTATTAGTGCATTAGTTTATAACCCTTATCCATTGATATACCAATTTTAATATTATATTTAATGGTCATTATGTTTGAAGGCCTATAAAAAGATGTTTTGACTACATTGAGAAATACACAAGTGGAGAAACTCTTTCTCTAGCATTTCTATAATCTCTTGTTCATTCCTATCTCTATATTCTTAGTTTTATAACAGTAATAAAGTTAAGGGAAAAAGAATGAGCATTATATTTATGGAGGGTTAAAAGTATAAGCATGGATAATAATTGATGAGCATGAATTAGTTACGAGCCCAACACGTGAGCCTGACACGTATACTCGAGCTTGGCACGTAAGCTCTCCCTCTTAATAAGAGGGCTCCAACAACCACCTAGTAGTTTGCTCGCTCATATCTCAGCTCGGTACTCAACCAACCATCTGAAGGGTAGCTCAAACCAGTTGCGAAGCTCTCGATGGCTCTTCCACTTTCTCTGTCGCCTTAAAAATGAGTTGAGGAACTCTAACGACACAATTGACTCACCTATAAAAGGATCATGCAAGCCATGCACCAGGTAAGTAATCTTTTCCTGGCTATATACAACTCAATCAATTATTCTCTTTCTGACTTTATTATCAGATGGTCGATCACCGAAGCCCCTCCGATCTTCGACTTCCTTTGCAAGAACTCCCCGTCAATTGCTAGATTATTCCACAGTGCAGTTTTTGTGTTAGAATAGGTGGCTTATATTTAATATATGGAGACATATACCGGGTTCAAAGATAATAGGCCAGTTGTTGGATTATGAAGTAGGAGAGTCGCACGTAGCTTTGGAATTTGCCCTAATTAGGGTTGTAGCCTATATATATATATATATATATATATATATTAAGTTGTAACTCTGTTTCAGTGTGGAATAAAAAAATAAGGCAGCCGCTCTCTTGTGGACGTAGACAAGTTGCCGAATCACGTAAAATTCTTTTATTCGTCTTCTTATTTTTCTATTTATTTGATTGTTCATTGCATCCAAATCACAACATTTTGGGATCAACAATAATGAAACCTTTTCCAAAGTGGCCAGCCGTAGGTTTTAATGCTACATACTGTAACGATAAAGGGATCAATTAAATTAGAGAAATTTTATTGAGACATAATTTAGGGACATAATTTGATAACATAATGCATTGTGATTAATGGAGTGATAGTAAAATTCATTTAAAATTGCAATAGATTCCATTATTAAATTCATTCCACTATCATCCATTGATCACAATTTATTATGTACCCAAATTATGTTCCTCAATTATATACCAATAACATTCGTGATTAAATAGTAGCATGTGATGCATTTAATTTGAAATCCATTATTAGCCTACTTGCTATAGCCACATCTCGTATCCCATTTATTTTTGGTCACTCACTTTATGGGCATTTGTCGGTAAAGGAATTCCATTAAAGCTGAATGCATGCAATTGCAAGAATGAGGTTATGTTTCAAAGAGCTGGGAACAATAATAATAGAAGAGAAAGAATAGTGAAAACATAAAATAAAGAGAAGTAGGAGGCAGTGTCTATCTAAAGAACAACTAGATAAGAGCAATAGGAAATGGAAGGAGTATACCCCAAAAAAAACAGAAAAAAAAAAACAAAAGAAAAAGGAAGGAGGAAGACTATTTAATAATCTTTGAGTTTTGGATGAACAATCAAAGGGAGGTTCTATGACAAATTTTTATGAGATTTAAGTATATAGTTCAGCACGGCTTGATGCTCTATTTTGTCGGAGCCAATTGAAGATTTTGACGTACTAGGTGTTAAATAATATGTTTCTTTTTGAATCTATTTGCACAATATTCTATTAGATTGTGTAGTTGTAATTCTACAGTTCTCATTAAATTCTTCTGCGAATATTGGATACATTTATCTTTTTTTGTGTAGATTGAGAGTGGATCGTAGTAACCACAAGTATAATGCATAGCCAACCAATAAATCCGTGAGATTGGGTTGAGGTGGGATAATTGGTGAGGTCTTAGATCTGTGTTGTAATCTTGCATACTGTTACTTCGTGTCTACTGTTTGAGATGCTTTGGTGATTCTTAGTTTATTTGGTTTTCATACCGTTGATCATATTCTTTCCCGTCATATTTTATACTTGCCTGTTCTATTTAATATTTTCATGTTGATTTTGGAGAAAAAAAATCATAACGAAATATTGAATTGTCAGATTTTAAGCTAAATAACATCTCTGAGAAATCGGGGTGTTACAGTAGTCGTTATCGCAATGGGGCGAAGGCCAAATTAAAATGGCCGTAGGGTAAGTTGACAGCCAGAGACATTGACCGCCAAATGGTGGGAGCATGCTGTTAGGGGCGGATCTACCTCATAGCTTGCGAGGGTAGTTGCCTCCACTCACCTTTTAACTATCCACATGTATATTGTCTAAAACGTCATGACTTTTTTTTAAAAAAAATTAGTGAATTGTCCCCCTCATTTTTTTAAGGAAAAATTACACTTTACACCCAGACTTCCTAGAATGTTTGGATGAAATTTGGCTCAGGGATTGGACTGGTTTTATCAAACTAGTTCATGCCTAATCTCTATTTTTGAGTAAATGAGATTAATAAATGATTTCAATCCATACTCGTATTTGATAAGTAACATATATATCTGCTAAAAACCGGCGAATTAACAGATATAGTCGGAATACCCACTTCAAAACGCACCCAAGAACAAGCCGCTCCACTGGGTATCCCTCTTTGTGTTCTTGATGACCACCCAAAACTCGATCTCGCCATAGACGGTGCAGATGAGGTAGACCCAGATCTCAATTTGGTCAAAGGCCGTGGTGGAGCTCTTCTCCGAGAGAAAATGGTGGAAGCTGCTTCGGAAAAGTTCGTTGTTGTGGCCGATGATTCCAAATTGGTTGATGGAGCTTGGAGGGAGTGGACTGGCAATGCCGGTGGAGGTGGTTCAGTTTTGTTGGAAGTACAATTTGGTGAGACTTGCCGAGTTGTTTAGGGAGGAAGAGTGTGATGCGAAGTTGAGATTGGATGGGAATGGGAAGCCATATGTGACTCTTATTTGAGACTATGATATTGTTTGTTAGATTTTTTTTTGTACATTGACCCATGGGAAGCCTTAGTAATTGGCGGTGAAAAACACGTGGATATCTGTACTCACCAACTACATACTTCCATTTCAGATCCAATAGCCTTTGATAGGCTACGGATAATGTGGGACAAATTGCTGAAAGAGTCGGGTGGACATAAATCCTGTCCCGTGTCGCATGTGACAGCCCATAATAATTGATATCCGAGTTTTCAAATTGAATTCAAACACACGGTTACCTAAGTGAGTCGCATTGATCTGGTTTTTTAAGTAAATTACATTTTACCCTCTAAACTATTAATCTTGTTTTACCCCCTCTCTCTTGAAGAACAGAAAATGGTGGTCACAGCATGCGGTCAATCTCCTCCAGTAGTTATGTCAAATTATGATCGGAAAAGTGAACTAAAAGCTTTTGATGATTCAAAAGCTGGTGTAAAGGGACTTGTAGATGCCGGGGTGGCGACAATCCCACGTATATTTCTCGGCCATGACCAAATTAAGCTTGATGAAAAGTTGCATTCTGCAGGTGACTCCCAACAGTATAGCATTCCAGTTATAGACTTCACAGGCATCCATGAAGATCCCGGGCGACGTGCTTATATCGCCGACAAAGTCCGGAATGCTTGTGAAAAATGGGGTTTTTTCCAGTTAATCAATCATGGAGTTCCGGCGAGTGTAATGAATGGAATGATAGATGGGGTTCGACGGTTTCACGAGCAAGACACGGAGGTGAAGAAACAGTTCTATTCCCGAGATGTCATGAGAAGGTTTACATACAACAGTAATTTTGATCTGTATCAAGCACCAGCAGCTAGTTGGAGGGATACATTTTATTGTGATATGGCTCCTCATCCACCTGATCGTGAAGAACTTCCCGCGGTGTGCAGGTATGTGTTCGGATTCTAACATTATTATGATGCTTGGTGTGAATCGGTGATGCTTAAAGATTTCTTCAAAAGGGGTGGAAAACTATATTACCTTTGTGTTGGACTAAAACACCTTTTAGGTTTAAAAAATTAATTTTTGATTGACTTTAGAGCCTAAAATTAAAATGAGATCTACCCATTGTTTTGAGTAAATTTTTGTAGGTTCGTATTCTATTATATAAAAATAATAACATAATATATTTATTTGTGCAAATTGAGTAAGAAGTGAACGTGGAAATAGAGGTTTGGTAATGTGAGATATACTACTAATTCCATATTGGTTGGATAAGAAAGGTGTGACGAGGATATATACCCCAAGTTTATTCTATGGGTTGGGTTTTAAGGGAGAACACAATTTCGTGGATAGGGAGGACCTACATGACCTTGGGTTTGAACACACGCGTGTGACCCAACCCAACCCGACCACGATAGGTGTGGATGCAATCATATATTTTTGGAGAAAATTTATTGACTAAATGAGTCTTTAAATTTGTAACCCATTGGAATTTAAATTTCGTACAAAAAATTTGAATTCAAAGTGTGTGCCAAGTTGAAATTCGAATTAGTATCTGTTTATTAACAAACATCTTCTAGGTTGTTTCAGTTTGCAAGGTGACTGTTTGATGCATTCATCATTTGTATATAAACCCAGAATCATTCAGCATTATTAACTTACATCACTTATAAAATTAGTCATTAAGACAGTTAATACATTCATCATTTTCATGATTAAGACTCATTATTTTTTAGAGTATAAAACATTCTGGTTTGCTGGACAAACAAATTGCAGTGCTACTTTTGTTTGCGTGAAATTCATTGTATCTTGCAAAATAAACATCAAGATTTTTATTAGCACCTGTATGGGGGAGAATTTTATCTTAAGAACATAGTATCAAATTCTAGTTTTGATCTAAAAATTAATTTTTGTTCATGTTCGACAATTGGGTTATTTTTATGTGTTTGCATGATATAAATCATAAATTCCAATAAATAATCTGTCATCGTAAAAATCCACCAACACTTCATTGTTCCTAGACTTAGCTGTAGGCCGAACTCTTGCGCGGTGGGTATGACTTCCTCAGTTTAATGCTGAAATTAGCAATGCGCTGCATGCATTATTCAATGATAATATTATGGGTAGTATGTGATAAACAAGAAACAAATTTTTGTCAATCCTCTTTAAAGTTTTTTTTTTTTTTTTTAAAGTTTCTTTTTCCAGCACTGTTGTTTATGAATCTTTGAATTGTTGGAATTACTTCGATCTTACTTCAGTTGAAAAATCGCTCTGATATCACTTTCTTGGAGTCAAAAGAATTATAAATAAAATGAAAGAAAATAGAGGAGGATATGAGCAATCAAAAAAACATAAAAATTCATCCAAGTTGATTACAAAATACAAATTCAACCTGGATTATTCAATTTTTACTCAACTCTACTTATCATAAACACTATAACAAGTTTATTTTTCAACACCCCCCTTAAACTTGATTTTTCACCTCCAAATTGTTTTTTCGCAAGTAATTTCATGGTAGAAAGGCTTCATGGAATTATTTTAAATTCCTTGGACTAGAGTACCAACTCCTTTAATTGCAAGAATCTTCAAAGTCATCTCTTTTGTGGTGTAGGGTGTTGGGTTTCCCTCCTTAGTGGGACTCATCAATTTGCTAATTTTTTGGTGGCTTACCCGTGTAGGACTCTTATACAAGACTTGGTTTGGAGTCTTCTAGTTAAAAAGGAATTTGACAGCCATCAAAGACTATAAGTTTTGTCCTTTTCTTTGGTTCATCTATTCTCTGTTGGTTTGGCAAGAAGACATATTTTTCGGCAGTCTTTCGTTCAACAAAAATTCAGCCTTCTTCTTCTCTTTTTTGGTGCCAGAAAAATCTGCAAATTTGTTCTTCAAGTGGGTAATATTTCTTCACTTGATATTTGAGTTTCTTGCAGTTTGTTCTTGGAGATTTGGTTCACTTATTTTGTGAGGTATTTTCCTCTTGTGATTTACACCTTGGTGTGTTTGTAAGGCTTATGCCTTTTGGCCACTTTGTAATCTGATTTGGTGATAGTGGAAGAAACTAACCTACCGGTCGTCGTGGATGTACCTCAAGTTATTTGAGGGAACCACGTAAATCTTGTGTGCTTATTTATTTTCTGTTATTTTATTTATATTGCTTCCATTGATTTACACTTGTGGGAAAGCCTATTTTTCCCAACATCTGGTATCAAAGCAATTGGTTAATTCGGTTCCGATTCGTTATATTTCTGTGTGTGAATTATGGACGGCAACGTTGGACGTATGGTTAGTTTCAATGGCACAAATTGGGTGACTTGGAAAACTAAAATGGAAGATCTTTTATTTTGTAAAGATTTGAATGGACCCATAGAGGGTGATAGTGGCAAACCGGAAGGGATGAAAGATGACGAGTGGAAAAAGCTAGACCGGAAAGCTGTCGGTTTTATTCGGCAATGGATTGATGATAGTGTCTTTCATCATGTCTCTACAGAAAAATCTGCACATGGTCTTTGGACCAAATTAGAGAGTTTGTATGATAGAAAGACGGCAGTGAATAAAGCCTTTTTATTTCGAAAGCTTGTGAACTCTAAATATAAGGAGGATACTTCTATTGCAGAGCATTTGAATGAGATTAAGAGCATTGTGAATCAGTTGGCCGCCATGAAAATTACTTTTGATGATGAGTTGCAAGCTTTGTTACTTCTTAGTTCACTTCCCGAAAGCTGGGAAACTTTGGTGGTCACAGTTAGTAACTCCGCACCTGATGGAGTGGTAACAATGAGTCAAGTTACCAGCAGTTTGTTGAATGAAGAAACAAGAAGAAAATCATCAGGTTCTTCTTACTCCGAGGCACTTGTAATGGAAAACCGGGGGAGAGGCAGGAGTAAGAGTAGGGTTCCGCACAACCGTGATAAATCTAGAGGTCGTTCAAGCTCGATGTCAAAAAAGGATGTTGAATGCTATTATTGTCACAAGAAAGGGCACATGAAGCGGGAATGTAGAAAACTCAAGTTCAAGGAGCAGAACAAAGAGAAAAATTCAGAGAAAAAGCAAATTGATACAGCTGTAGTTACCGATGATGAACTCATGATTATCCGTGATGATGCTAGCGTTAATTTGATTGGCCAAGAGACGGATTGGGTAATTGATTCTGGAGCTTCATTTCATGTTACTTCGCGGGCTGATTTCTTTACTTCTTACTCACAAGGTGATTTTGGGAATGTCCGTATGGGAAATGAAGATGTGTCAAAAATTGTCGGCATGGGTGACATTTGCTTGGAAACAAATATTGGATGCAAATTGCTGCTTAGAGATGTGAGGCATGTACCAGATATTCGACTCAATTTAATCTCTGCTGGAAAGTTAGATGATGAAGGCTACATCAACAATTTCAGTAATGGAAAATGGAAGCTCTCCAAAGGTTCTCTAGTGGTAGCAAAAGGAAAGAAGACTTGTTCTCTTTACACTATGCAAGCAAAAATCTGCAAGGGTGTTGTGAATACCTTAGAGAATGACTCATCCACTGATTTATGGCATAGAAGGCTTGGACATATGAGTGAAAAAGGATTGCAAGTTTTGTCCAAGAAAGAGCTTCTAGTGGGGATAAAAGGTACGCCTTTGAAAACTTGTGTTCATTGTTTCCATGGTAAACAAAACAGAATATCATTCCGTAGAAACATTGCATCTAGAAAATCTCATGTTTTAGATTTGGTACATTCTGATGTATGTGGTCCTTTGAAAGTTAGGACACTTGGTGGTGCTCTATACTTTGTCACTTTTATTGATGATCACTCTAGAAAAGTTTGGGCTTATACACTAAAAACTAAAGATCAAGTTCTAGATGTGTTTAAGATTTTTCAGGCCAAGGTTGAAAGAGAAACAGGTAGACAGTTGAAATGTGTTCGCTCGGATAATGGTGGTGAATATATTGGACCATTTGATCAGTATTGCACAAATCATGGTATCAGGCATGA